CCACTCTGGCGGTGGCGGATCCCATCAAATCGGAGGCGACGCTAACCATATATACGCTGAGGAATCGGTTGGGTTTGGAAGTGATTCTCCTGACGGGCGACAACCTGTCGTCGGCCACAGCCATCGCCCGCAAAGTAGGCCTCAAACGGGTCTTCGCCGAAGTGTTGCCTTCGCATAAAGTGGCGAAAGTCAAGGAATTCCAGCGGAAAGGCATGAAAGTAGCGATGGTTGGCGACGGTGTCAACGACTCGCCCGCCTTGGCTCAGGCGGACGTCGGCATTGCCATCGCCAACGGCACGGATGTGGCCATCGAGGCGGCAAACATAGTCTTAGTTCGGGTCAGTTGTGGTCATCACCCGATCCCTACTTCTTATGACTAAACGTGTGTCTCATTTGTCTCTTCAGAACGATTTGTTGGATGTCTTCGCGACCATTGATTTGTCGCGAAAGACTGTCCGTCGGATTCGTCTCAACTTCGTGTTCGCCATCGTCTACAATGCAATCGGTATACCACTCGCCGCCGGACTCCTCCTGCGATGGGGTCTTATTCTGCAGCCATGGATGGGGGCGGCGGCGATGGCCGCCTCCTCTGTCACTGTCGTCTGTTCCTCACTATTGCTGCGATTATACCGAAAGCCGACGCGAAAACAGTTGGAAACCAATGAATACCACAAATACTTGACACGTCTTAACATTCACAACGACTTGGACTCACTTTCGCTGCATAGGGGGGAAGACATCAACAGAACTAGACATCAGATTCACATGAAATCGTAATTTAATTTTCGGATATATTTAACAGAAATATGTTTTTAAATGGTTTTCCAAAACAGTATTTATTATAACCGGTATATTTAATTAGATTTATTCGTATTTTAAGTCCAGAACATAACTTCCAACCATTTATCTGATATAACAAATAAGTTATTGAAAAAAACATATCAAATAAGTGAAGAGTAACTAATTAACTTTTAGTTTTCAAATGTAATTCATTAGTGAAACTCATTCTCATATCTCATAACATGTTAGCCCTGATGACCCGAAAACGTTCGGCAATTATATTAATTTTATTTTTAAGACATTTTCACTGATATTAGGAATAAATATTGAAAACTTAAACTTTAAGTAATTTTTTATGTAATGAATGGAGAAATAAATAAAATGTATTCAGAATTCATACCTTATCTCAAGAATTGGTTGAATATATAGTAATGGTATTCTTGTGGAGAATCCGTGCAAATTGCTTAAGACGTTACGCAACGGCGGCATTGAATCCGTGTCCACATCGCCGTTGGTGTCAAGACTCGATCCAATGATATACTCTATTAATGGCACCGATGAGGGCCACGAGATCTGGCTTTGGTTGGATGCGATGGTAGCCATGGGGGCGACAATCAGAACGAGTGGCACAGTTGGCGATCGACCAGCACCTCAACCCCCGGGTGATGCCGGCGGTGGGCGGATGCGATTGTGGCCATCCCTGGCCCAGCCGTACAGTCGGCGCCCGTCGCGGCCCATCCATGGCGTGAGCGGCAAGTGTTGTGCGGCCCATACCCACCGCTAGCAACCAAATGAGGTGCCACTGTCACTGTCACTGCTCCTGTTGCCTGGTCATAAACCCTGGGCCTGAGGTGCCACTCCGTAAGCCATGTGACCCCTATGCAGCGAAAGTGAGTCCAAGTCGTTGTGAATGTTAAGACGTGTCAAGTATTTGTGGTATTCATTGGTTTCCAACTGTTTTCGCGTC